TCGCTTCGTGAATCCACCAAAGTGAGGGAAGCGGGAAGTTCCCCAACTCCGTGACCAGATCCCCTGGTGAGGCCAAGGTAGCAGGTGCGCATCCAGAGCAGGGATCTGCCTCACTTGGCCCAAACTGCCTGACCCGGAGGGGCGCAGGGTGGAGAGGAGGAGGCGCTCCTCCAGGGGCCTCAGCAAAGCAAGTGTCCTGTTGTAAAACCTCTAACACCGTCTTTGTATACGGGCATGGGGATAAACCAAGGCCAGCAAAGGAGAGAAGCAGGGCCTGCTGGTTCAGAGCTTGCTGTAGCAAGGGAGGCAGCCATCATCACTGAGGTATGAATGGAGACCCAAGTCAGAGGAGTGGGAAAGACTTCTGGTGGGAAAAGGAGGGGCGGGGCGGGGGTCCAGGTTTGCCAAACAGGCAGCTGTAGCCCTGGGGGAGCTCTAGGTGGCCAAAGAGAAGTGGGTGTCTTATGTGACTGGTTAGGGGTGCATATTGGGCATTTTCTGGTTGGTCCTAAGTTAGGAATGAGCCCTGGTCAGGGTGGCTCGGTTGGAGCATTTGCCTGATTCCATCCCCGGTCAGGGCACATACCTAGGTTGTGTGTTCAATCCCTGGTTGCAGTGCGGACAGGGGCAACCAGTCGATGTTTCTCTTTCACATTGAGATTTCTCTCTTTCTCCCCCACACCCCTTCCTCTGTCTCTAAAATAAGGAATGAAAAAGATGTCCTCAGGTGAGGATTAAAAAAAAAAATTAGGGAAGAAGCCCAGTCCAGCCCCCGCCGCACATCTGCTTCCTTGTTGGGGTTTTTGCAGGGAGTGGTAGTGGCTGGTTCTGACTTTTCAGGGCAGTTGTGGGCATAATGTAATTCTTTCCTGAAGTCTCTTAGCACCAGCGTGTTGCTGCAAAGCTGAAGCCAAATGAACATTTTGCGCTAGAAGGAAACAAGTATTTCCCATTTTTTGAATTTCAGAAGAAAAAGCCTTGAGGAACTGTCCTTAAGTAGAAATAATATGAATAGAGAAGGAATTATTATATGGGTTTGGTTGCCATGAGCTCCTGACATGCAAATATACCTCTGAAAAGGGATTTAATTTGGAGATTGGGAGATTCTTTCTGGCTGCACAATCCTGAATAAATCCCTGATCTTTCTGAGGTCTCATGAATAAATGAAAGGCAATGATAGTAGCCCTCATTGATTTTGCAGATTTGCAGGCATTCTGGAGGTTCCATGTGTACAGAAATTATCCTGAGTCACCCCTATGGTTGGTAGCAATGACTTCTCTGTGCGAATTTCTCCTTGGACCAGCTGCCTGCTCTGCAGACCGCCTATCAAATGCCACCAGGCAAGCAAGGATGGGCACCTCATGTTGGCTTTTAACCTATGGCGTGTGCTGTGCCTAATTTTAATCATGTAGTGCCTACAAAATAAATGTTAATCCTTGGAGTGGTATCAAGGCCCTCCAGATCTGGTCATGGTCTCGATCTGTCCTTAGTCCCCTTAACAAGCTGTCACTTCACCCAAACTGAACTGTTCCCTGCCCTGAGCATACTGGGTATGGTCCCACCTTGGCTCTGGTGGTTTTCTGTTGCCTGGAACCTGTACCTCTCCTCTCCCTTATCCATCTCACCCTTGAGCCTACTGCACTCTAGAAAAGTCAATTCAAGTCTTCTCTCCTCCAAGGAGCTTTCTCTCACTGCTTCAGTGATCCCTCCATTTTTAAACAATCCTCTCATAGCACACTCAGCTTTCGTATGCTTTTGGTACACGAGTAAAACTGGACATGATGTTTTGCGTTATTGTTCTCTAGTTACATTGTGTTCTGCATCTTGCTGGAACGGGAGCTTCTGTGTGGCAGCGATGGTGTTTTTCCACATTTAACCTCACTGCTGAGGACTGTGTTGTAAGTTTCAGTGCTTGATGAAGATTGGTTGAATAAAATGATGAACAAGGTGCCCAGTTGATTAGTGTGTTAAACATATTGGAAAACCAAAGGAAGTAGCCCTTGCCTGGTCTCAATAAATAGTTCCTTGAAAACACTTCATATCTGAAGAGAGGGCTGTTGGTGGTTTTGCCTTTCTTATAGCTGCAGCTGCAGTAATTCAGGGGGAAAAGGACAGCTTTTAGAATTGCAGTCTAAAGGAAGCACAATGACGCTCAGTCATGCTCAGTGTAGGGTTTCAAGTCTTAGAACACGATGGGCCAAGCCCAGCTCACTGCTTTGGGGGAGGTGCTGTCAAATAAATAAACAGTGTGTGTGTTGGGGGTGGCAGGTTGGCCTCCTCCAGGTGCAGGGCAGTCACACTGAGCAGGAATGCAGCTGGGATGCTACAGACGATGACTGAGATTCCGGGCAGAACCGTGGGTGGGGAGCAAGACTGAATAATGGACCGTATAGCCCAATAGCTGGGCCAAACCGGCAACACAGCCCAGGAGTGGGCGTTGTTGGGAGGCCCCAGCAAACAGCGAGGCCTCCGCCATCGTGGAACCTGCCAGCAGTGACCGCCCTAAGCCTGGGGCTCAGAGGCTGGGTGTTAGGTCCTGACAAGCACCCTGGCAGGACAAGGCAGGTCCTGTCCTAGAGCGTCCAGGCTTCTATTTACAGCTCCAGCATGGCCAATAAGATAAAGCTGCTCTGGGGCAGGGGCGGGATGATCTTGTTCTCCAGGCCCAAAGTAAGGGTTGGCCTCTGAGGATGTGAGTAAGGATGACTCTGGAGATAAAGAGAGAAAAGATGTGGAGCTTGGTGATGCTGCATGGCTGTGATGCAAGGAACCAAGGACCAGAAGAGTATGGCCATTTCAGTGTCCATTCACGTTCCTTGTGAGCAGTAGGCCAAAGCTAGAGCCAGCGCATGTGATGCCCCCAACCCAGGGGCACAGTGCTTGTGCATCATATCAGGGTTTTCAGTCATCACAGGAGCCCCCCGTTTCTGTGGTGGCGCCCCGAGGACAGCCACAGCAGTGTGCTCCAGCAGGGAGAGCATAAGGAGGGGCATTCGATGTGGGCAGATGTGTGTTTTTCTGTTTCTTACCGAGGGATCCTCATTAGGCGTAAGATTTTGATTGAAAAATCCACAGCTAAAAGAAGCTTGATAGTGAGTATGACAGTGACCATTACAATTTCTATCCCTCTCTGGAGAGCTGGAAGGAAGAGAAAAGGGTTATCTGGAGTTGAACAGCATGACAATGGAAAAAAAAAAAAAATCTATCAGAACAGGGAAAATTCTCCACAGAGGGTGACAGCATGATATGTAGAAAAAAAAAAAATTATGCCTTCAGCAAGGAATTTCCTAAGAAGCTATGACATTTTAGATTCTCGGGAAGTTGCAGTAGTTGTGTCTCCATTGTGATGTGACCTTTAGGAAATCAATAAAATGCATTGTACCTCTCCAGGGTCCATTTTATATACTTTGGACTCAAGGGGCCAGAATAAAGGAATAGAAACCCTTTTAGGCCAGCTCAAATGCTAGGCGGGTATGTTATGTTTTTAGAACGCAAAGACGGAACATGCAGAACTTATCGGTGGAATCAGAAGGTTGTTCTCTTTGTTTTTCAAGGGCTTTGGTGGCCTCTCAGGAGCTGGATGGTCACCCTGTGGCTGCTTCTCCCCGACTTCTCTCTGTCTCTTCCTCTTACTCATCAACACCCCAAAACGACTGGCAGACCCCTTACACGACATCGCACTTGGACTACATTCTCTATGTGAAAATCCTTGGGTTGAATTTTTAAGAGACAGACATTTACTCAGCACAGGCTGCAGAATGATTTTTCCATAAGTCAGATCTCTACCCCAGGTCCAATCCACTTGGATGGGGGAGGAGGTGATGTAATACCGGTCATGCGGAAGAAGGAAGCAAGGCTATGGTGGGTGCCTGACCTTGGCTGGGGTGCTGGTGGGGGGCAGGTTTCTCTACAACAGACTTCCAGACAGACAACGAACAGAGTGTGATTTGGGGGTTGCCCAGGCTGCCACACAGTGTACCCTTTATTGCTGAGCATGGCTGAGAAGATTTTTGAGGCTACACACACATCTTACCATTTCAGTTGTCACAGTCCATCAGCAACACTGAGATACCAGCCCCTTCCTAGACATTCAGTCTTCCAGCTTCTTATCACGAGAAACAATATTCCTACAAATGGCGTTGGCCAGTCAAATGACATTGGACAAAGAAGACCTCAGAGGATCCATTCATTTGGCCTTGCCTGTGACATAAACTTCCTTGCAGTGGTTGAGAGAGTGGGCTCTGGAGTCATTCTCCCAAATTTAAACCCTGGCCCCACTAGCCAATAGCCACATAACCTGGAGCAGATTACTTAGCCACTCCAAGCCTCCCTTCCCCAGTTTGTGAAAAGGACGTAATAAAACCACACGATGGAAAAGAAAACACCCTCTGGGGTTAGTGAGGAATATGCTCTGAGGACAGTTTTGATCTGAACAAAGTACTCAGGAAGTATCACCCATGGTTGTCCTCATTTTTGTTAATGCCCTTTCATGTCTTATGAACCCAAATGAATTCAAGTCTCCGTACCAATGACTCCTCTGCCTTCCTGACAGCCCTAACTTCTTCCCCAGACCTTTGCAAGCGCAAAGTGTTAGCAAGGGCTCGGTGGTTAATCAGTTGATTTTTACAATGTTGTGCTTTGTGCTCTGAATTTAAAAAGTTCTCACAATCAAAGGTGGAAGAGGATGCATAAAGAGCACAACCTGGACCTGATTTTGTTCTATTTGATGATTATGGAAAGTATATCTTTTCAATCCTCCTTTTAGGTGATTTGAGTGTATGCCTTTCCCCTGAAATTAAGAGAAGACACCAGATGATTTCTCCAGTTTCTTTGATCTATGTCAATACTATCTAAAACTGTCATTCTCTATACTGAAAAACATGCAATCTGTTCCTTGAGACTGTGCACAAGATCGGAGAGCTAGAAAACCACATGAGAAACCTTAAGCCAGACTCACTCTTGTTCTTCTCTCCTGCAGGCTCCAAGCTGCCCTGAAGATCATGAACTTGTCTGCTGAGCACTGCAACATCTCAGACTGGCTGAGGCTCGAAGCAACAGTGAAGGCCTCTGTGTATGTGGTCACTTTCTTTTTTGTCACGTTCATCACAGTCGTCATCATCACAATAGTGTTGCAGAATTCAAAGCTGAGGAAAGAGGTTCGATACATCCTCCTTTGCCACCATCTGATGTGCATCTCCTCCTACTGTGGCCTGGGGGTTGTCTTCCAAGGAATGCGGGCCCTGCTGGTCAACAGCCCTGTGGTGATGTGCTGGGTGGTGTTTGGAGCCCAGCTAAGTTTTGGAGAAGGTATCCTCTTCACTCTGGCCTTAATGGCTGTCAACACTTACCTGGCCATTTGCTGGCCATTGAAATCTCTGTCCTTTGTAAAGCCGGTTAAATATAGGGTTCTGGCTGGGACTTGGATCATCATTGTATTCAAGAATGTTAGCTTATTCATCATAGAGGGTACCAAGTCCACTGCGGTTGCTGTTTTAAGATCTGAACCCCTCTGCCCTGTGACTTTGAACAGTACTCCTGCCAGAGTCATTGGCATGATTTTCCTTCTCCTTCTTCTATCTGTTATTCTTATAAGTTACTTTCTAATATATCAAGAGGGCAAACGTGCTGGCCATTTTAATAGCTCAAATATCAAAGCAAGAAAAACAGTCCTTATTCATTTATTGCAGATAAGCTTACATGTAATACCAACCTTAATATTCATAGGTTTGGGAAAGATGTGTGGAGTGTTTTTCTTTGCTTTAAATCTGGCGCTTTTTGGAGTCTTTGCGTTTGCCCAGTGTTTTAACCCTCTGATATATGGGCTCTGGAATAGAGAGCTGCGAAGCAGATTATACTATTGGATGTGCTGTCAATTTTGGTGTGGTCACATGATGAATAGCGGAGGGCCAGTTTAAACAAAAACTCAGCCTTTTTTTTTTTTTTCATTTTTAATCCTCAGCCAAGGATATGTTTATGATTTTAGAGAGAGTGGAGAGGAAGGGAGAGAAGAGAGAAACATCGATGTAAGAGAAACATCCATTGGTTGTCTCCCATATGCACCTTGACTGGGGATCGAACCTGCAACCTTTTGGTGTACACGACAATGCTTCAACCAGCTGAGCCACTTGGCCAGGGCAAAACTCAGCCATTTTGAATCCATGACTCTAGTCCTAATGGACCATCAACTAGGGTTAAGGACTTGCCTTTTACTCAACCTAAAATTAGCGTGTTGATTTGATTTTGAAAATAATACTAGTAAGTCAAAGTTATTCATCGGACTTACACACTCTGCTGCTGCATATACTTATATGTCCTCAGTGAAATTATTTTATGTTTCTAATTATAAACCCAGATCAATATTTTTGCTAGTATGTCTTACTGTGTTTCAACAGTTGAGTGGGAAGTTGAACAGTTGAATGGTCTATCTTCCCATTCTTACATGACGGCCTCAGCTTGGGGAACATACCTGGCATGCAGGCAGGCCCTGAGAGCCAAGTGGTCTGGGAAATGTAGTTCTTAGTTTCAAAGACCTAGCAGTACAGGAAGTTACCCCAAAAGCAGTGTGACAAGAGGACTGAATGAGCCAATCCATGAGATCCATGCAGGTATTACTATTCCTGACATAGAGATGGAAATGCTGAAGCTTAGAAAGGCCTTCCAGGAGCTTAGGAGGTCAGGGCCCCCCCTTTAAGATCTGCCATATACACGGCTTGGCCCAGGGGGACCATTTCATCATTACTGAGAGCTGGACCAACCGCTTGGGAAATCTGGGCCCTGGTTCTTCTCTTTGCTCTGGGTGTGGACACTTGGCTTGTGGAAAAGAGCCTTTTCCCGCCCTTTGCCTTGACTACACTCTCCCATCCTTAGGCCTCCATTGCTTTTTATTTATTTATTTGGTAAATAAGTTATATTATTTTTGTTAAATTTATTGGGGTGACATTGGTTAATAAAATTATCTAGGTTTCAGGCGTACAGTTCTATGACACCTCATCTGTATACTGCGTTATTGGTTCACCCCCCAAAGTCAAGTCTCCTTCCATCACCATTTATCCTCCCCACACCCCCTTCAACCTCCTCCCACCCCCCTTTCCTTCGGGTAATCGGCATGCTGTTGTCTGCGTCTATGAGTTTTGGGGATTTTTAAAAATTAATCCCTTTGTCGTTTTTACCCAGCCTCTCAAACCCCCTCCCCTCTAACAGCTATCAGTCTGTTCTCTGTATCCATGAGTCTCTTTCTATTTTGTTAGTTTATTTTGTTCATTGGATTTCACATAGAGGTGAAATCATATGGTCCTTATCTTTCTCTAACTGGCTTATTTCACTTAGCATAATACTCTCCGGGTCTATCTATGTTTTTGCAAAAGGTAAGATTTCCTTCTTTTTTTACGACTGAATAGTATTCCATTGTGTTGAATGTACCACAGATTTTTTATCCACTCACCTACTGATGGGCACTGGGGTTGCTTCCAGATCTTGGCCATTGTAAATAGCACTGCAATAAACATAAGGGTGCAAGGCCCCCATTGTTTTTAGATTCTAGTGGCTTCTGTGTCATTTCTAGACTCTATTTTGGCCTCAAGTCCTGCTCATCTTCTTGCTAGGGGTTCAGTCTAAGGCTTCCCTCTTCCTCCAACCCCAACTCTGAGAATTCAAAGCACCACCTTCCCTTTTCCAGTTTGCAAGTCTCATTCCAGCGTGGGCACCAGAGCTTCTTCCCTTTGTCTTCTGGTACCAAATACAGTGCCTGGTAGATGACAGGCACTTGACAAAAGATGAAAAGGACTCACTAATCAGTAAGACATGCCTTTCTACAAATTCCCTTTCTGTAAAACTCAAGCTGTCTGTTTTTGTTGAAATTTTAAGCAATCAGAGAGGAGTGGAAGAAAACCTCAAAAAAAATTTACCAACCTTAACTTAGTTATAAGTCCCAGATCTAATATACATAATTTAAGTTATCCTTAAAAAATTTAAGCTCTATTTTCTGACATCAAAAGGTAACTTCTACTTGTAATATTGACTGAGTGTCAGAGTGGCGGTTTTTATTTTCAAAAGCACAGGCTGTACAAAAAGAGGTGGTGGGCCAGATTTGATCTGTGAGCCACAGTTTGCCAAACCCTGGTCTGTGCCATTGTCCTTGAACAATGCATTGCACAAATTTAGATGCCGGGAATATCTGTCAGGATAGACCGGGTTATGCCACAACAACAAAGCCTTAGTGGCGTCATTTCTCAGCCTTTTGGCTTAGATCAAGTGAAGTATCAGTTCTTATCAGTTTATTATCTGATATGTCTTCTGCCTGAGGGCAATATATTAAATGGAGTTTTGGAGCAAGAAGATGAAATAGGAGCTTGCTCCATCCGCTCTGCTTATCAACCCAGTATTGCAGTACCTTCAAGAACAGTGCAAAAACAAAAACAAAACAAAACAAAAAAAAAAGAAAGAAAGAAAAAAAAATCTCAGTGGCTTAAAAGAACAAAGGTTTATTTCTCACTCATCCAAGGTCCCCTGAAGGTCAGGGCTACTTTCCAGGGCAGCTGCCCTTGTGCAATGACTCACCTTTACTCCTCCATATGGACACATGTCCCCTCAGTATTAGCAAAGGACAAGAATGTGGAAAATCATCCGCCAGCTCTGAAAGGATTTCATATTTCTAGGTCTATAAAGATTTTTTTGAATGCACCCGTGCCCATTCATTTCAGCATCATCTGTGGCTGCTTCTGCATCACAGAAGAGTTGAGTGGCTGCATGGCCTGCAAAGCCTAGATTATTTACTATCTGGCCCTTTGCAGAAAAAGTTTGCCTTAATGCAATACACAGGTAATGTATTAAAGAATTGTATAATTGTATTAACCCAGTCACCCCAATAAATTCAACCTAAAAAGACACTAATGCATTAAAAAAACATTTGCCAACCCTGGCCTAGAAGGCAGTTGTCTGACAAAATGTGAAATGTGATAACTTTGATTTAAAATGTGATTCAGAAAAATAAGACTCCAAATAAATTTAAGGAACACCCTAATCAATTTATTTTATGTACATTCATATTTTTATGGGTGATATAGGATAAAGAAATCTGTCTAAATAAGTTTAAAAGCTCCCTGAATTAGTACACAATGCAACTCCCAAGAAATAAGAAAGCATTGTGGTGTAGTTACATTTGCAATCTTCTTTTCCTTCTTCACAATCTATGGTCTCTTAGACTCAATAAAATAGGGTAATGTATGGGGTCTGTTCAGAAAGTATCCAGCCATGCACTATGAAAGAGACATTTATTGAAGAAGATACAAGATACATTGTACATAGGACAATGATGCCTCAGACACCTTCAAAGTAGGCACCTAGGGACCTCACACAGTTCTCCCAATTGCCATTAGCTCCCCAGCTCCCCTGTCATATTTTCCTGAATCTCATCAATGATCTGAAATCTCTTTGCTTTCAAAGGTGATTTTAGTTTTGGGAAAAGCCAGGAGTTGCAGGGCACCAAATCTGGGCTGTAGAGGGGCTGAGTCACCTGGATGATTTGATGTTTCACCAAAAAACTCTACACGAGACCTGATACGTGAGTGGGAGTGTTGTTGAGATGAAGCTGTCGATCACTAGTTGCCCACAGCTGTGGACTCCTGAATCATCTGTGTAGATGTTCAAGCTTAACATAAAATTATATGCGGATCTGTTGCTCTACTCCCTCAGTCACTCTGAATGCAACAGCCACCCAGTGCACATGCTCACTCAAGGGTGTCTACGGCTCCCACTGACTAGTACAGTGAAGTTGTCATTGTTCATACATGCGCATTCCAGTCTACTCTCCTTGGCTGCCAGGTTATATCAATGCTGTGCAAACAGTTCTCATTATATTAACAACGGCTAGACTTTTTCCGGACAGACCTCCTAAAAGACAAAAAGCAAAAAGAAACAACTCTCTGGAAGAGCCTTTGAAAGGCTAGTTACAATGGGCAAGCGTCTGAATCAGCTGTGCTCTCTTGCATGGACTCTGCCTGTGGCAGTTGGCAGCACAAACAATCCGGTGGGCTGTGACTTCTTATGGTGGCTGAGATAGCTGGTAAGAGCATCTGAATGAAGGAGTCTTCTATTCAGGGTCTTCCCTGGACTTCATTTGGCCACACAGGGGACCTGGATGGTAAATGGCAGTAGGAAGGCCCTGGGCAGGTACTGTTTCTCCTGCTGAAAAGTGATCATCTTTGCACCAAGAACAGTAAGTGGTGCCAAAGGAGTCTAGATGAGTGTTAGTTTGTTTTCTGCAGTCTCCGTTGCCAGCACATCTGAGGATGGCAGCCAACGGTGTCCTCACTTTAGAGAATTCAGCTATAGCTTTCCGGTAAAAGAAAGGGAAACAAATGCTCTAAGATGAGATAAGCTGTACTCTTTTTTTTTTTTTTTAAATCCTTTCCTACTTTGACATATTTCCTACAATGAGATATTAGTCTGGATGGGAGGCAAAAAAGAAGGCAATTTATTCTAAATCATTGTACTTGGTTAAAGGAGGAAAGGCTTATAATACACATGGACTTCTCCTTGTGCCTTTAGAAGGGCCCTCCATTACAAAGGTACTTGCAGAAAACTTCTAGAAGACAGATTGGAAAGTGCAAATAACAAGTATTATCAGTTTAGGGGACTGTTGGACCAGGTGGGACCAAAGCGTGGGGTCTGATTTTGGGTGAGGGTGGGGAGTCAGACTGATCATGTAGTCTTTTTTTTGTTTTCAAATTTAATTTTTACTTTTCGATTACAGTTAATTTTCAATAGGTCTTGTAGTCTTTTTGAAGTCAGGTTTATTGAGGCATAATTTATGTACAATAACATTCACTCCTTTTAAACATAGATTCATGAGTTTTGATAAATGTATAGAGTCATGTGACACCAACAATCAAGACAGAACAGTTCCATCACCCCAGAAAGTTCCTTACGGCCCTTTGGCAATCAATTCACTACCCCCATCCAGCTACTGACAACCACAAATCTGTGCTTTGTCTCTGTGGTTTTCCCGTCTCTAGAATGTCATATAATTAGCATCATATAAATGAAATCATACAACTGCCAGCTATTATGGACTGAATTGTGTCCCCTCAAATTCACATATTGAAGTTCTAATCCCAGTACCTTTGAACATGACTGTACTGGGAGATAAGGCCTTAACAAAACAAGTAAGGTTAAATGAGGTAATATGGGTGGGGCCCCAATCCAATACGACAGGTGTTCTACTAGACAGGAGAGGAAGAGACATCAGGGATGCACATACACAGAGGAAAGACCATGTAAGGACACAGCCAGAAGGTGATGTCAGCAAGCCTGGAAGAGAATGCTCTTACCAGAAACCAACGCTGTCAACACCTTGAACACCTTTTCAACTAGTACAATGTTCTTGGGTGTTCATGAATGCAATCCATGTTGCATTCATCAGTAGTTTCTTCCCTATTGCTGAATAATATTCCATTGCATGAATGTACTGTATTTTGTTTACTGACTCACCTGTTGATGGACATTTGAGTTATTTCCAGTTTTGGCCCATTACTAATAAAGCAACTATGAACATGCCATGCAGGTCTTTGTATGGACCTATATTTTTCATTTCAATACCTAGGAGGGAGTTACTGGATCAAATGATAAGCATATGTTTATAAAAACTACCAAACTATTTTTCAATATGGCTGTGCCATTTTCATTTCCATGAGCCATGCATAAGATTTCTAGTTGCTCAGCACCCTTGTCTACTCTTAGTATAGTCAGTCTTTTAAATTTTAGCCATAGCAATCGGTATGTAATGCTATCTCATTGGGGCTTTCCTTTGTATTTTCCTGATGACTAGTAATGTTCAACAACTTTTTATGTGCTTAATTTGCCATTTGTATATCTTCTTTGATGAAGTGTCTGTTCACATCTTCTGTCCTCCCCAATTAAAAAAAAAATAGGTGTTTTGTCTTCTTAATTATTGAGCTGTAAGCTTTTAAAAAATATATATTCTGGGTTCAAGTCCTTCATCAGACATGTGTTTTTGTATATATTCTTTTCTGGTCTTGGCTTAGTTTTTTAAATTTTTATTTTCTTAAAAGTATCTTGAAAGGACAGATGGTTTTAATGTTAATTAAGTTCAATTTATCCAAGTTTTTCCCCTTGTGGCTCATGTTTATGTCCTATCTTAGAAATCCTTGTTTAACCCAAGATCTCTTTATTAGTTTTCTGTTAATCCCATAACAAATTACCACCAATTTACTGGCATGAGACAACATAAATTTATCTAACAGTTCTGTAGGTCAGAAGTGTGGGTTCCTTGGCTGGTTTCTCTGCTCTGGTTTCTGACAAGGCCCAAACCAAAGTGTTGGTTGGCTGAGTTCTTACTGAAAATCTCAAGTAGAATCTACTTCCAGGTTCATTCAGGTTGTTGTCAGAATCCTGTTCCTTGAGGTTGTAGGACTGTGGTCCCCGTTTCCTTGCTGATGTCAGCTGGAGCTGCTCAAGACTCCTGAAGTCTTTTCTCTGATCCTTGAACATGGGCCCCTAACTCTCACAGCCAGTAAAGCAAGTGAAATCCTTCTCACGATTGGAAGCTCTAATTTTGCCTCTGTCATAGATGGAGAAAGTTCTCTCTTTTTAAGGGGTCCTATGGGTAGATTAGTTAGGCCCCTTTGGATCATCTGGAGTACTTTCCATATTTTAAAGTCTGTAACCTTAATTACATCTGCAAAGTCCCTTTCGCCATGTCATATAACCTATTCATGAGGTCTAGGGTTCGGGGGTAAGTATCTTTGGGAATTTTTTGCATATGGATATCCAATTTTTCTAGAATGACTTGTTGAACAAGTTAGGTGTTTGATTTCTCTCTTGGTGAGAAATTGTGATTTTTACAGTTTTCGAACAAATAGAACCATGGCTCGTGTTTCATAATTGTTATTGCTGCGTTCATGGAAAGTCCGACCATATTTTTGGCATTCACAAACATATTTTTCTCTGGGAATTTTTAGGAGTGGAGCACATGAAATTCCGTTTCCCTCCTCACCCTCCACGCACGCCCAGCCATCCATATGGCTATGGAACTGATAGCCTAGTGGCCAAGTCTCCGTTTATGCTACATAAAGGCAGAGCCAGTAAATCATGGGCCAGCTCTTTGGCTGGTTATGATTTTCTGCTTCCTGTCTAAATTGTCACTGGGGCTGGTCCTTGAGATAGATCAGGAATTTTCACCCTGGGGGCTGGGGGAGGGATGGGGTGGGAAGTGAAGCAGGGATGACACCTTGCTGTGAATGTCTCTGAGAAAAACAGCGCCCTTTTTTAAAAAAAGATTTCCAGCAGTAAAAACTATATTCAGAAAAATATAGAACAGAAGATGGCCAGGTTTCAGAAATTCCACCCTCACAGCTTCCCGCAGTCTCCAGTCATCTCACTCCCTGGGCAGATA